CAGAGCAGCTGTGGCTACATCATAGTTCATCCCCACCAGGGTGTAAATGTGTGTGTGAATGGGTGAACGACACTGATTGCGTCATATAGCACCTTGGGGGTTCCAGTACTCTAGAAGGTGCTATATCTAATACAGACCTATGTCAGACAAATGTCCACTGTGCACCAGCTTTCTGCATTTGATCTTCTCTCTAAAGAAGAAGTTAGAAATACTACTTGTCTCAATATACCATTCAGGTTCTCCAAATGACCCAATTTCAACAAAATTAATGTTTGATGCTTTCTTGGTTCTAAGACCAGTTACCCTGGCAATTTTACATACAGGCCTGTGTTTCTCCATGTTTTTATCATATCTTCCATTTCCATGGGGTGTTCCACAAGGATCAATCCTTGGACACTATTATTCACCATATACATGTCACCCCTTGACTCTATTTTTGCGAAACACTCCCTACATTATCATCTGTATGCTGACAATTGTCAGATCTACCTCTCGCTGGATCAACCGGGGTCTATTAGCTGGCTGAATGATTGCCTTTCAGACATCAGAGCATGGTTATCCTCTAACTTTCTCAGATTAAATGAGGATAAGACAGGCTTTCATTTTCAGAGCTCGGTCTGTAAATGAAACAATATGTTCAGGCCCTCCTCTTCCTGTAAATGTTAGTCCCACGGTGATCAGTCTGGGGCTTAGACTAGATATAGATCTGTCATTAGTCAAACAGATAAATGCCACCGTAAAGTCCTGTTATGTTCATCCTGCCAGAAAAAGGCCTCTTAAGAACATCCTGAAACAAAAACATCTGGAGTGTGTATTCACACCTTTATTACATCTAGGCTTGACTATGCAAACTCTCTTTTGACTGGTGTGAATGAGACTACGATCGAACTCCTTCAGAAAGTCCAAAATGCTGCTGCCAGATTCTTCACTGGAACAAAAAAATATTGTCATATAACCCCAGTTGTAGCTGAGCTACACTGGCTCCCACTGACCTACAGGGTGAAATCGTGCATAACATGGCTATGTGTCCTCTAGGTCTCCTCACTTGGTGGATCAACTCTTGATGTGTGCTCCAAAGATGTGGTGAAAAATTTGTGGTGAACGTGCGTTTGTTCACATAGCTCTGAAGCTTTGGAATAGCTTGCCACTCTCGGTTCGATTGGCCCCATCTATCCCTGTAGCTGGCGTGATTGTTTACAGGTTTTATCATTTCCTAATTTGTTCTCTCTTTTAAAATTTTTAGTATTCTTGTGTTGTTTTTAGCACTTTTGTAGTTGATTTTGCTAAAGTTCTTAGCTGCAACCAGATATTTCCCTTGAGTTATTTCACTCAGTTCATATTTGACCTCTTCGACTATTTTATCTTGTTTCCTTTTATCGTATTTCCAGCACTTTGATCAGCTGTCATGCTGTTGATAAATGTGCTATATAAATAAATCTGTATTTGGATGTCATCTGCTGCTGTTGGTCCATTGTGTTTTCTGAGATCCAAGGTCAACGCAGCCATACCAGGAAGTTTTAGAGCACTTCATGCTTCCTCCATAAAGTTGGTCAGCAGACCAACTTTATGGAGATGCAGATTTAATTTTCTAACAGGACAGGATCTTTCATGGAAGTAAATTCAAAGAGTCAGAGTACCTGGCCCGGAGGGTTACCGGGGTCCCACCCTGGAGCCAGGCCTGGGGTTGGGGCCCGTGAGCGAGCACCTGGTGGCCGGGCTTTCGCCCATGGGGCCCGGCCGGGCCCAGCCCGAACCGGGTACATGGGCTCATCGAACAGTGGACCCACCACCCGCGGGAGGAACATGAAGGGTCCGGTGCAATGTGGATCGGGTAACAGACCATGGCGGGAGCCTTGGCGGTCCGATCCCCGGACAAGAAAACTGGTTTTTGGGACATTGAACGTCACCACGCTGGTGGGGAAGGAGCAGGAGCTTGTGGCAGAGGTTGAGCGGTACAGGCTAGATATAGTCGGACTCACCTCGACACATAGTATTGGCTCTGGAACCCAAGTCCTTGAGAGGGGTTGGACACTCTCCTTTGCTGGAGTTGCTCCGGGTGAGAGGCGGAGGGCTGAGGTTGGCTTTTTGTTAGCCCCAAGACTCTCTGCCTGTGTGTTGGGGCTTACTCCGGGGGACGAGAGGGTAGCTTCCCTGCGCCTTCGGGTCGGGGAATGGGTCCTGACTGTTGTTTGTGCTCATGGGCCAAATATCAGTTCAGAGTACCCACCCTTTTTGGAGTCCCTGGGACGAGTGCTAGATAGTGCTCCATCAGGGGACACCATTGTCCTGCTGGGGGACTTCAATGCTCACGTGGGCAATGACAGCTTGACCTGGAAGAGTGTGATTGGGAGGAACGGCCCGCCTGATCTGAACTCGAGAGGTGTTTCGTTATTGGACTTCTGTGCAAGCCGCAGTTTGGCCATAACGAACACCATGTTATTACATAAGGATGCCCATCGGTACACTTGGTACCAGGGCAGCCTAGGTCGCAGGTCGATGATAGACTTTGTAGTCGTATCATCTGACCTGCGGCCGTATGTTTTGGACACCTGAGTGAAGAGAGGAGTGGAGCTGTCAACTGATCACCACCTGGTGGTGAGTTGGATCAGATGGCAGGGGAAGATGCCGCGTAGACCTGGCAGACCCAAGCGCATAGTGGGGGTCTGCTGGGAATGCCTGGCAGAAGAACCTGTTAGGACGGTCTTCAACTCCCACCTCCGGCAGAGCTTTGACCGCATCCTGAGAGCAGTGGGGGACATTGACTCTGAGTGGGCTTTGTTCCACTCTGTGATTGTTGAGGCAGCTGTTGCTAGCTGTGGCCGCAAGGTGGCCGGTGCCAGTCATGGTGGCAACCCCCGTACCTGCTGGTGGACACCAGAGGTTCGGGGAGCCGTCAGGCTGAAGAAGGAGGTCTACAGGGCGTGGCTGGTCTGTGGGTCTCCGGAGGCAGCAGACAGGTACCGGATAGCCAAGCGGGGTGCAGCAGTGGCAGTTGCCGAGGCAAAATCTCAGGCGTGGGAGGAGTTTGGTGAGGCCATGGAGAAAGACTATCGATCGGCTCCAAAGAGGTTCTGGCAAACTGTCCGGCGCCTCAGGAGAGGAAGGCAGCAACTCGCTCACACTGTTTACAGTGGGGATGGGGAGCTGCTGACGTCAACTGGGGTTATAGTCGGACGGTGGAAGGAATACTTTGAGGAGCTCCTCAATCCCACCTATGCGCATTCCGAGGAGGAACCAGAGCCGGGAGACCTGGGGACGGGCTGTCCAATCTCGGGGGCAGAAGTTGCTGAGGTAGTCAAACAACTACACAGCAGCAGGGGCGGATGAGGTTTGCCCTGGGTATCTCAGTGCTATGGATGTTGTAGGGCTGTCATGGTTGACACGTCTCTGCAACATTGCGTGGTCATCGGGGGCAGTTCCTGTTCTGATGTGGTCCTCCTGGCTTCATCCAGCTCTGACCTTCAGCTCTTGCTGGGTAGGTTCGCGGCAGAGTGTGAAGTGGCTGGGATGAGAATCAGCACATCCAAATCTGAGACGATGGTTCTCGACCGTAAAAGGGTGGCTTGCCAACTCCGGGTCGGGGGAGAGGTCCTACCTCAAGTGGAGGAGTTTAAGTATCTCGGGGTCTTGTTCACGAGTGAGGGTAGGAGGGACCGGGAGATTGACAGGCGGATTGGTTCAGCGTCTGCAGTGATGCGGACGCTGAGCCGATCTGTTGTGGTGAAGAGGGAGCTGAGCCAGAAAGCCAGGCTCTCGATTTACCGGTCGATCTACGTCCCAATCCTCACCTATGGTCAGGAGCTTTGTGTAATGACCGAAAGAACGAGACTGCGGATACAAGCGGCCGAAATGAGTTTCCTCCGTAGGGTGGCCGGGCTCAGCCTCAGAGATAGGGTGAGGAGCTCGGACATTCGGGAGGGACTCGGAGTAGAACCGCTGCTCCTCCAGATCAAAAGTAGCCAGTTGAGGTGGTTTGGGAATCTGGTCAGGATGCCTCCTGGACGCCTCCCCGGAGAGGTGTTTCGGGCATGTCCTGCCAGCAGGAGGCCCCCGGGTCGACCCAGGACACGTTGGAGAGGTTACATCTCCAATCTGGTCCAGGAACGCCTTGGGGTCCTGCCAGAGGAACTGGTGGAGATGGCCGGGGACAGGACGGTCTGGAGCTCCCTAGTTGGGATGCTGCCCCCACGAGCCGGACCCGGATATACGGAGGAAGACGACGATGACGGACTTGGAACCTGCGCACAGCGCCAAAGCTACCAGTCCCTGGTTTAAGGGCCATGGTATCCCTGTTCTTGATTGGCCAGCACACTGGCCTGACCTTAACCTCATAGGAAATCTATGCAGTGTTGTGAAGAGGAAGATGCAATACGCCAGACCCAACGATTCAGAAGAGCTGAAGGCCACTATCAGAGCAGCATGGGCTCTCATAACACCTAAGCAGAGCCACAGAGTGATGGACTGCAGTAATCCAGGTCAAAGGAGCCCAACTGAATGTTGAGTGCTGAACATGCTCATACTTTTCATGTTCATATTTTCAGTTGGCTAACATTTCTAAACATTTTTTTTGTTGCACTGGTCTCAGTTAATATTCTGATTTTCTGAGATACTGAATTTAGGATTTTCATCAGTTGTCAATTATAATCATCAACATTAAATAAAGAAAAGTTTGAAATATATCAGTCTGTGTGTCATGAATGAATCTAATATACAAGTTGCACTTTTTGAATGGAATTACTGAAATAAATATACTTTGTCATGATAATCTAATTTTATGACGGGCACCTGTAATGTCACAAAAAATTATTTTAGGGAAAAAAAACTTTGCTATCTTCAGCATCTAATGTTACTAAATGTGAATGAGATCATAAAGACACTAAAGTATCAGTCAGTGGTGTTTCAGTAGCTTTTTACCTAATCCTTTTTCAGCAGGTATTTCTCTTTTAAAGGTCTTAAATTAAACTTGCACAAACCCTGGCTTACACATTCTGGTGACTCACATGCAATTACGTGCTGCAAGATCTCTGTGCACAAACTTCTTCTGAGCCAAATACTCCATCCCTTTAGCGACCTGCAGCCCAAAGCCAATCAGATCCTTCACAGTGGGGTTCTAAGCAAACATAAAACATTCATTATTGGATACTTCGTAAGCTTGCAGGTAGATTATGAGATGGAATAGTTTTGCTGCAGGTTTCTCACCCTCTTCTCGCAGCGTATGAAGTGCCGCAGGTCACCGTGTTTCATGTATGGCAGCACCACCAGAGGGAGGCCTTCCTGTGGCAACAGGATGCCCAGCAGAGACAACACGTTGCTGTGGTGGAAACCCTTCATTATGATGCCTTCCTTTAGAAACTGCTCCACCTCCTCCACATCTGTTATTCCTGGACACACCCACACACACCCACACACCCACACACCCACCCACCCACCCACACACACACACACACACACACACACACACACACACACACACACACACACACACACACACACACACACACACACACACACACATTAATGGATGGTGGAAGTACATTGTACTTACCTCAGTCATTTGTCCAGCATCACACAATTTCTGGTCCTTTTCTAAGACATGACTTGAATTTTATTGTGAAACTTAACTATTTAAAGACTTGACTGCACAGTGGATTTCTTTGTTCTTGGGGTCTGTGAGGTAGCCATGATAGACTGTTCCAAAATGGCCTGCAATGAATACAACAGAACAATAAATTACAACTACTACTAAGTTATGAGAACCAGATGTGACAAGTGCTCTCCTACCCTTTCCTATGATCCGATGCCGCTGCACTATGAGCATCTCTGCAGGGATAAGCACATCCTTCACTTCTTCCAGCAGGTTTGGCCTAAAGCTGGAGATGGAGATCTTTTCTGCCGGCATGAGGGGAGTGAAGGTTGGATCTACTGTTCTCGTAGTATACACCAGGCTTGGAAACACCACTGGTCCCACCAAGGGGGTTGGAGGACTCAGGGATACCACTTGGAAAGGTCCAGATAAAGAAAGTTATTTAAAAGGATAATAAAGATCACACTGATGGTACAAGTTTAGAAGTTCACCTCTTCTGTAGTCTCCAACTGGAGACCTCTCAGCATTATTTGCACCAGAACGAGCACAACTGTGGACTAACCGCGTTTCTAATGTGGACGCTGAAACACAACACGTGTTTAATCATCAACCTCAAAAAGGAAGAGTACATGTACATCCAAAACCACACTTGAGATATTCTAGTTGAAAGCTTCCAATCCAAAACCATATCCTGGCAACGATTGTGTCAGATCAAGGTCCACACACACGGGTGATATACTCACTTTTCTTCTTCTTCCTCAGATGTTTCATAACAGCGAAGGCCAGCACTGCCCCAGCCACCAGAGCTGCCAGGATTCCCAGAACTATTCCCACCATGTAGTGGTTGCTGACCCTCACCACAGTGCCAACATGGTGAACCTGACCATTGATGGAGATCTGAGGAGTGGAGACAATATAATGTAATGACTACTCTTCCTCACAGCCAGCAAGAGTAGCAATGCAACTCCGAATATAGTAATGATGTGATCACTGGCATCTGTTCTAATGTCCTGTCAGAAATTTACCTGGAAAAGGTGAGAAAACCTCACCCTCTCTGGAGAAAAGTTAAAACGGGTCACAGTAAGTATGACCTTATCTGACTTAACTGGTATTTTGATGTACAGTATTTTAGTTTTTGCATAATTAGTTAAAGTTTTGTGAATTTTGAAGAATTTTCTACATAATTTTCAGCTGGTAGTTGTTGATGTCACACACTCACTTTGAACATGTATTTGCAACTAACTCCATGATTTACACTCACCTAAAGGATTATTAGGAACACCACACTAATTCGTGTTTGACCCCCTTTTGCCTTCAGAACTGCCTTAATTCTACGTGGCGTTGATTCAACAAGGGGCTGAAAGCATTCTTTAGAAATCTTGGCCCATATTGATAGGACAGCATCTTGGAGTCAATAGAGACGTGTGGGATGCACATCCAGGGCACGAAGCTCCCGTTCCACCACATCCCAAAGATGCTCTATCGGGTTGAGATCTGGTGATTGTGGGGGCCGTTGTAGTATAGTGAACTTATCGTCATGTTCAAGAAACCAATTTGAAATGATTGGAGCTTTATGACATGGTGCGTTATCCTGCTGGAAGTAGCCATCAGAGGATGGGTACATGGTGGTCATGAAGGAATGGACATGGTCAGAAACAATGCTCAGGTAGTCTGTGGCATTTAAACCATGCCCAGTTGGCACTAAGGGACCTAAAGTGTGCCAAGAACCCCCCCCCCCCCCCCCCCCCCCCCCCCCCCACACACACACACACACACACACACACACACCATTACACCACCAGCCTGCACAGTGGTAACAAGTCATGATGGATCCATGTTCTCATTCTGTTTACACCAAATTCTGGCTCTACCATTTGAATGTCTCAACAGAAATTGAGACTCATCAGACCAGGCAACATTTTTCCAGTCGTCAACTGTCCAAGTTTGGTGAGCTGGTGCAAACTGTAGCCTCTTTTTCCTATTTGTAGTGGAGATGAGTGGCACTCGGTGGGGTCTTCTGCTGTTGTAGCCCCTCCGCCTCAAGGTTGTGCGTGTTGTGGCTTCACAAATGCTTTGAATAAGAAGAAGAAGAAGAAGAAGAAGAAGAAGAAGAAGAAGAAGAAGAAGAAGAAAGTATCATTTCTATAGCGCCCCTCAAGATAAAAATCATGAGGCACTTCACAAAAACAAAAAATGTAAAAATATAAAAAAGAATTTAGAAAATGACTAAAAATGTATTTTAAATGAGCAAAAATAGACAATTGTGATGTAATATGTAAAGAAAGAGAGAGAGTGAACAGGAAAGAGGGAAATCAGTGGATCCTGAAGAAGGTGGAATAGGTGGGGAGAGCAGAATAAGGAGAGGGTGATGAAGATCACACAAAAGCCTTAACAAGTGAGTCTTCAGCTGCTTTTTAAAGGAGACCACTGAGTCCACTGGTCTCAGGTTCAGGGGGAGAGAGTTCCAGAATCTGGGGGCCACAGCAGCAAATGATCTGTCACCTTTGCTCTTTAGCCTGGTGCTGCACAACCAGTAGGCTTTGATCACTGGACCTCAGGGACCTGCTGGGGGTGTAGGGACTGAGAAGATCACCAATGTAAGATGGTGCTTGTCCATGTAAGGCCCTGTAGACCAGAACCAGGATCTTGAAATGAACCCTGAAGTTGACTGGCAGCCAGTGAAGCTGGAGGAGAAGCGGGGTGATGTGGGTGTGTTTGGAGGACTTGGTCAGAAGCCGAGCACAGGCGTTCTGAACCACCTGTAGACGGTTCAGGGAGGTTCTGCTCAGACACGTGAAAAGAGAGTTACAGTAGTCTAAGCATGAAGAGATGAAGGTGTGGATAACTGTCTCAAGTTCAGAGCGGGACAGAATAGGACTCAGCTTAGCAATGTTCCTGAGATGGAAGAAGGAAGAGCGAACAAGAGAACTGACATGAGAATCCAGGGTGAGAGCTGGGTCAAAGGTCACGCCAAGATTCCTGACGGAAGGTTTGGTGTGGGAAGCAAGCTGACCAAGAGAGTCTCTGACTTTGGGAACCAGCTTGTCTGGGGCACAGATGAGGATCTCAGTCTTATCTTCATTCAGCTGTAGAAAGTTCCCACCATCCAGGTTTTGATAGAGTCTAAGCAGGAGTGTAACAGCTGCAGCTTAGACATCTCTTGGGGCTTAAAGGAGATGTACAGTTGGATGTCATCTGCATAAAGATTGTAGGAGATTCCTTTGAAGGAACTCAGGATGTGCTGAAGAGGAAACAGAGCGAGGAGGAAGAGTAGGGGCCCCAGCACAGAACCTTGTGGGACACCATGGAAGAGGGTAGTAGTGGAGGACCTAAACTTGGAGACAGCCACAGAAAAGGAACGCTCAGAAAGATAAGAGGAGAACCACTCCAGAGCAGTTCCTGATAGGCCTACCCAGTCTCTCAGCCTCTCCAGTAGCAGGTGATAGTCAACAGTGTCGAAGGCTGCAGTCAGGTCCAGCAGGACCAGAACAGAACAGTCCCCTGCATCACTGTGAGTCAGAAGGTCATTAGAGACCCTAAGAAAAGCTGTTTCAGTAGAATGAGCTCTACGAAAACCTGACTGGAAGCGATTATAGATGTTATGCTCATCAAGAGCAGCTGTGAGTTGTTTAGCCACAACCTTTTCCAAGATCTTGGAGATGAACGGAAGTTTAGAGATGTCTGAAGCTGCTCTGGAGAGAGGGGTTGAGACTCGGTTTTTTAAGAAGTGGGTGGATTACAGCGTTCTTAAAGTAAGCAGGAACCTGACCAGAAACCAGAGAAGCATTATTTATAGAGAGCACGCTGGGACCGATGGACTGAAAAGCACTTTTAAACAAAGATGAGGGTAAGATGTCGAGGGGGCATGCAGAGGTCTTCATAGAGCTAACTAGTTTGGTTAACTCAGGCAAAGAAACAGGAGCAAAGCTATCTAGGATGATGGGCCTGGTTGGAGTCGGCAGAGGCAGAGATGAGGCTGAAGGAGAGATGCTAGATCTAACCTTATTGACTTTGTCCACAAAGAAAGACCGAAAGTTCTCACAGTCAGCAACAGAGTGGATGGAGGCTGTAGGAGAGGCAGGAGAGACGATGCTGCTGATGCTGTTAAACAGCACCTTGGGATTCCCTTTGCTCTGGGACACCAGGTTGGAGAAATAGGCTACCCTCATGTCTCTGACTGCAGAGTTAAAGGATGTCAGAAGATCCATTAGATGCAGCAGATGGACGAGGAGATGGGTTTTCTTCCACAAACGCTCAATTTTTCTGCATTGGTGCTTCAGGCTGCGAAGGCTGTCATTAAACCAGGGAGTAGGGTTCACTGCAGGAACTGATCTGGTTCTGACAAGACAGATGTTGTCCAGAATGGAGAGGCAGTGCTCGTTAAACTGAGAAGTTAAGGAATCTGGGTCGTTATCAGAAGAACAGGTTGGATCAAAAGCAGCAGAACAATTGCTAGCTGTGATCTCATTAAGAAAACAAGAACTAACCAGACGGCGAGCAGAAGGTGTGGACGCAGAAACTGAAAAGTTAAAGAAAATGCAATGGTGATCTGAAATATAAACGTCCTCAGGACAAACACTGTCACCATTTAGACCAAGGGTAAAAACAAGGTCCAGAGTGTGTCCCCTGGTGGGTGTGGGGCAAGAAACATGCTGGATAAAGCTGAAGGAGTCCATAAGGCTGGAGAAGGTCAATGCAATGTGATCAGAGGGATCATCAACGTGGATGTTAAAGTCACCAACCAGTCTGGACAGCTTCACAGTGGAGGATAGAACGTCGATAAACTCCTGAAGGAAAGCGTCCTGGTAGAAATCATCGTTTGGCTCTGGGCCAGCGAGCCACTCACGTAAATAAACAGGGAGGTAAATCCTCGATGCATCTTGAGCTATCGTGAATGAACGGAAGGACAAAAGAGTCTGGTGATCATAGGACATGGTAGCAGGAACACTACTGAAGAGGATTGCAGACAGGAACAAGGTGGAAAAGAGGAGGTTAGTGGAGAAAAATTTGAAAAAGTGGCCGGTGACCACGGCTAAGCCAAGCACAGATGCCATCTTGTTACCGGATATTACCTTTGCTGTATTCCTCGGTTGTAAAGAGTGGTTATTTCAGTCAAAGTTGCTCTTCTATCAATTTGAATCAGTCGGCCCATTCTCCTCTAATGTATAGCATCAACAAGGCATTATCGCCCACAGGACTGCTGCATACTGGATGTTTTTCCCTTTTCACACCATTCTTTTTAAACCCTAGAAATGGTTGTGGGTGAAAATCCCAGTAACTGAGCAGATTGTGAAATACTCAGACCGGCCCGTCTGGCACCAACAACCATGCCACGCTCAAAATAGCTTAAATCACTTTTCTTTCCAATTCTGTCACTCAGTTTGGAGTTCAGGAGATTGTCTTTACCAGGACAACATCCCTAAATGAATTGAAGAAACTGCCATGTGATTGGCTGATTAGATAACTGCATTAAGGAGAAGTTAAACAGGTGTTCCTAATAATCCTTTAGGTGAGTGCGTATCTACATGTGCATTTTATTGACCAGATGAAGGTATGCCTCCTCTTCATATTCTACTCCAGAATTACTTACATTTACTAGTTCTACTAAATTGTCTAAAACCTGATATGTTAGTTATTTACTGTCCTTTTGCTTTTTCCTGAAGTTGGTACTTAAATGAAAGTTTAACTACTGTATACAACCTTCAGGAAAGATTAGTAATGAGTGACTATAATGGGGTCTATGCAACATGATGTAAACTGAACTGTGGTGTTGACTCAAGGTAATTGAGCTAATCATCTTCTAAACAACCCAACTAACCTTCACTGGAAGCCCCTCACTGGGAATGGTTAGGTTTTTAGGAATCCTGCAGGTTATCTCATTATCCAGGACTTTGGCATCACAGTCAACATCTGCTACTGTCATGGTGATGGTCATGCAGGAGCTCACCAGGTTCAGCTTTTTATGCTGTGAACAAGGAGTTCCAAGAAAAATGGAAGGCATTTCAGAGAAAATATTTCACCATAAGAAGAACTCTGTTTAGATTAAAACCTAGTGACTTACATGCAGCGACACTTCATCAAACCCAGGGTACAAACTGAGCACGTGTCCTTCTGTTTCAAAAGGAATCGGCTCACCGTACGGGTGGTAGGAGAAGTCTTTGTTCCAAAGGCCCAGTGCTCCATCCATGTCAAAAGACAGGTGTCCTTCTTCTGTCTCATCTCTTTGGAAGACAGGAGTGATACACTCCATCCTGGTGGGCAAAGACCTGCCGATACACTCCTGCAGCAAAAGTTAAACACAACACTTTGACAGGCTGTACCACAGATTTTAGAACTACACCCAGTAGAAGGTCAGGTGAAAGTGAAGCCATAGCCAATGGTTTTGAGAATGACACAGGTGTTGATTTTCACTAAGTTTTCATTTGTTTAGTGCTTTTCAAAATCATAGACTCCAAAGTGCTTTAAACTAGAGAGTCATACACACGCTGGTGATGATGAGCTACATGGTAGCCACAGCAGCCCAGCAAGGTACACGCACGGGAGGGGGGTGAGGGGGTGGGTGGGTGGGTGGGGGGGGGTTACAAGTAATTTAAATTGCACCCACATTTTCTAAGTTAACACACATCTCTTTTAACAACGGTAGTTTCTGCATCTTTGCTGTTCCCCTGCTTCAGCCCTCCCCCTGCGCAGCAGCCGCAAACTCACTGATGTGCCTGCAGCCTCTCAGAGTTCCTGCTGATCTAATTTCCTGTGGAGGGTGTGTCAAGATGGCCGCTGGACAAGCTGTGCTGGTGTGAGTCTCTGCAAACAATTAAAACTATTTGAAACAAGGAAAACATCTGCAACTTGATAAATTTACAACTGGAGTGTTGAAAGATGTCAAAAGGAAGACAAAAGCAGTCTTTCAAACAAATGGACGCAGATGAGCAAAAACAAATGGAGAAAAATCGAGAGGAAACAACTGAGGACATGTCACCGATCAAATCATCAGGTTTGGCAGAAATACTTAAATAACTGAAGGAATTTCGAACTGAAACATCAGTCAGTTTTGGAGCATTGAAAGCCGAAATGAACGAGCTACGAGTAGATTTCATGAACATTAAAAAAAGAATGGAGGAAGCTGAACAGAGAATTGCTGAGAACGAAGATCATGCAATGAAAACCTCCAAAGTGTTAATACAAATGCTTCAAGTGCAAAAACAATTAGAAATAAAATGTAAAGAACTTGAAAGCCAAACCCACAGAAAAAATATAAGAATCTACTTGGTACCAGAAGATTGTGAAGGAAATAACATCATTGATTTTGTAATCAAATTGGCTTGGGAAAAGCTGGAAGTGGCTGATGAACTGCATATTGAGAAGGCACACAGAGTTGGGCTGAAGACAGGACGAAAGGAGCGCCCCAGAGCGATTCTGGTTCAGTTCCAATCATATGCTATGAAACGGACAGTACTAGAAGCTGCTTGGAGAAAAAGAAATATACAAGTGAAGGACCAAAAGATCTACTTCGACTAGGACTTTACAATAGCTGTGTTTAAGCAGCGTACAAAATACAAGAAAGTGCGGAAAATACTCAATGAAAGGAAAATTAAGTCATGGATTCTGTTTCCAGCTAGACTAAACATCTTCTGTGAGGACGGGAAAGTGTGACTATATAATGATCCCCAGGCTGCTGCAATTGGATTAAGTGAGTTTGGAGTAAAGATGAATATTCCAGAAGAAAGGGAAGATCTGGAATCAATACTGAGGAGCACAGGATGGAAGTTGAAGGAGAAGAATTCCCGGCCATGAACTGATGAAGGAGTCAAGGTCTCTTGAGATACACAAGAGATTAGGTACTTTTGGAAAAATAGCTATGGTAAAATCAGCTGAAAAATCCTTGAAAAGATTTGAAGCTGCAGAATATAAAACACTTGACTATGAAACCAATATTGATCCAGATAGTAATCTACTAAATGCAATTAATGACAACTGTACATATTGTACAAATGATCAATTTAATGATTCTATTGATCTAGATAATTTTTCACTTATCTATTTTAATTGTAGAAGTCTTTATGCAACCTTTGATAAGATGAATGATTGCTTGAAAACATTGAAAAGCCACTTCCAAGTGATTGCTTTATCTGAAACATGGTTAAATGAAAAAAGGATATTGATTTTGTTATAGAAGGGTATGATTTGTATTATAAAAATAGAGTTAAGAATAAAGGTGGAGGGGTTCCATTGTATGTTAAAAGTTCATTGAATTGTAAAATAGTAGTGAATGTCAGTAGCCTTGGAAGATGTGATGGAATGTGTAGCAGTTGAAATCGAGATGGAAAAAACAAGAAATATTATAGTAGCTTGTGTTTATAGAACACCAGGTTCTAAAATTTAATGTTTTAGAGAAAGGTGTGAAAATCTTATAGATGGATTAAATGACAAAAAAAAAAACTGGTTAATATGTGGAGATTTCAATATTGATTTACTTAACCAAGAAAACCACAAAACCACTACAGATTTTGCACATGCAATGTCCAGTAGGAGTTTATATCCTGTGATTACTAATGGGCAATTCCCATCTGTACTGGGTCGGCCCGGGCCGGGTAGCCCCAGTCGGCCCCAGCCTGGCCCGGTTGATTCCACACATCCTTGCCTTAAGCCCATGTGGGCTGATTCGACCCACCAATCAGAGGCTTGCTCTAATGGAAGGTGTGAATTTGCTGTCAGCAGTGGGTGTGTTGGCCCTGGTCGGCCTGAAGCAGACCCCCTCGAGAAGAGGGCTGAGAATGAGCCTTGGTTGGCCCGGAAAAATACCAGGCCACCCAGATATGTAAACAACCTACGCTACCCGACCCAGGCCGGCCCGGTACAGATGGGAATGGCCCATAAGCCAGCCAGAGTTACCAGTACCTGTGCTGCACTAATTGACAATATTTATACAAATGAAATACATAAGGCAGTTAATAGTGGTATTTTAATAAGTGATATGAGCGATCACCTACCAATATTCATAATACATTATAGTCTAATTAAAAAAATAACCAAAGAAGTTGAACAGATAAAGCATATTAAAATAAGGTCAGAGGAAGCAATAACAAAATTTTGTAATGACCTGTTAAAGGAAAACTGGAGTGAAGATTATGTTAAAGATGTGAACATAGCATATGATACATTTTTTAAAAACATATACAACCCTTTATGATAAGAATTGTCCAATACTGACATGTAAAAAAAAGAAAAATGTTGATGTAAAACCTTGGTTAACTAAGGGACTACTAAAATCCTGTAGGAGAAAAAATAGATTATATAGAAATTTTGTCAGACTTCGATCTAAAAGCACAGAAATGAAGTATAAGACTTATAAAAATAAATTGACAACAATAATAAGGCAAGCAAAAAAAAGATTATCATAATTTAAGGTTGAAGGAAAGTAAAGAACATGGAATATGAAATATGAAAATATGAAAAGAACATGGAGAATCTTGAATAGCGTTGTAAGACCTAGGTCTTTTCACGCCAATTGTCCAGATTACTTTATTAAAGGAGATAAAGTTCTGAGGGATAAAAGTGAGGTGGTGAATGAATTTAATTCATTTTTTGTAAACATAGGGCCAAGTCTGGCCAAATCTATGGAAACAAAAATTAAGGAAGATGTAAAAATACCAGGAGGGAGTGGAATTCTATAGTCTATATTTTGGGAGATGTAAGTAAAATGAAATATTGACAATAGTAAAGAAAAGTAAAAAATAAAAAGTCCCTAGATTGTCATGGGATTGACATGACTATAGTAAAGAAAAAAATTGAGTATGTTGTTAAACCACTTACTTATGTTTGTAATTTGTCTGTCAGAATGGTATATTTCCAGAAAAAATGAGAATCGCTAAAGTAATTCCGATATTTAAAAATGGTCATAGACATAGCTTTGATAATTACAGACCAATCTCAGTGCTTCCCCAGTTTTCTAAAGTCCTTGAAAAATGGTTCACTCAGAAACTATACAACTTTATTGAAAACAATAAACTGCTAAGTGACAATCAGTATGGATTTTGATCAAATAAATCTACATCCTTGGAATTACTAGAATTAAATGAAGAAATTACAGCAGCAGTAGAAAGGAAGCAAAACACAGCAGGTCTGTTTATTGATTAAAGAAAAGCATTTGATACCATATACCATAGTTTTTTACTTTCTAAGTTAAAGAATTGCGGGATAAGAGGGATAGCTCATGATTGGTTGAGTAGTTATCTGACTAAAAGAAATAAATTTGTACAGTCAGAAGATGAAATTTCAGATTCTCAAATTATTACATATGGAGTCCCACAGGGTTCTGTGTTGGGACCTAAGCTTTATAATTTGTATATTAATGATATTTGTGATGTGTCCAAAATATTACAGTTCATTTTGTTTGCTGATGATATAATCATATTTTGTTCTGGGAATAACTTACAAATTATTTGGGAAAATATGGATTGTGAGATGACTAAACTTAAGAAGTGGTTTATGGACAATAAACTATTTATAAATTAGAATAAAACGAAATTCATGATTTTTGGTAACAGGAAGACAGATGATTCTGTTACATTGTCCATAGATGGTACTTCAGTTGAAAGAGTAAATGAAGTAGGATTTTTAGGGGTCATCTTGGATCATAAACTTAACTGGAAACCCCATATAAAATATATAAAACAAAAACTGTGCAAAAGTATTGGACTTTTAAATAAAGCAAAAAGTATTTTTGGAGTCATCAACACTTCATATATTATATTATTCATTATTGTTCCATACTCTACTTAATGTATAGAGGTTTGGGGCAACACATATAAAACAAACACTAATCCTTTGTTTTTATTCCAGAAGAAAGCTATGAGAATTATATATAAAGTAGATGCTAGAGAACATACCAATAGACTTTTTGTTGAATCAAAAATTATGAAATTCAGGGATTTGGTTAATTTGAAAACTTTACTAATTATGTTCAGGGCAAAAAAGAGGTTACTGCCAGTGACATTACAGAAGTTTTTTGTTTTGATTTCAAATGATAGAAAAATAGAAAGAAGCCCGAGTTTAAAAGAGTTTTTGCACGAACAACATTAAAGCAAATGTGTATTTCAGTATATGGAGTAAAATTATGGAATAATCTGGATTATGACCTGAAAAAATGTTTAACTACCGATCAATTTAACAGACTATATAAAGAAAAAATCATGGAATCGTATGATTGATAAGTAAATATTGAATAAGTATATTGATAAGTTTTATTGTGATTTGTTTACAAAGATGAGGAAGTTGTATACTTGGTTTGTGTATAAGGCCATTCTGTAAATTATATTGTATGAAGTAGAAAGGAGTAGGTTATACAAGACTTCTTCTTCCTCCCCCTTTTTCACTTAGGAGACTGCTGATTGTATTTTGCATGAATGATGAAACTGCTGAGTGAGAAAATAAATTAACAATTAACAAATTATTTCAATGGTGTCTGTTTGTTGCAACCACCAGGTACAAAAAGGAACTAGTTTTTTTGACTATTTTTATGTCCTTTCTCTATTATCTTTCACCTTATGAGTTACCTTTGAACCAGTTCTAAAAGATCTACCGACCGCAAATATAGCGGAGTGCGCGCCGGCCGCACCGGTGCGGTGAATTCACCGAAGGATGAAACACATCAAATGCCCCGTGGCGGTATCGTTTTTTTAAATATAGCTTTTTATTAAACTGTTTCATATTCAATCTTTAAGTTTATAAACAGTGTTGCCATTGCTACCTTGAAACAGTAATCTGACTACTGATTAATGATTCATTCCTTGAAAAGTTACTTAAAAAAAAGTATTTTTATCAACAAATGAAAACACAAACTAGTGACAACCTTCCTGCAACTGTTTCCTCAGATTTTTCATGTTGTTAAAGCTAAACGCTAATTCAAAGTAGCGACATTATTTCTAGCTAGAAAAGGCGTCTCCATCCTCCCTGTTTATGTTCCTGGCTGATTGGTGCATATTACGCCAGAGCTGTCCTCATGCTGAATATGCCACGTATCACAAACATGACAAAACTCGTGTAAGAAAGCAAATATGACTTTTTACAAAGAAAAATGATTAAAACTAAATGCACAGTGACTTGTAAGCAGCTTTAATCTAAATTACTAGTTTGGAAATAGTAATACATCATGTAACTCTCATTCTGGAGTAATGCATACTGCTTATTTATCATTGCTTATCAAAATAGTTGTAATTTGAGAGTTAGTTTTTCTTTTTTCTTGACCTCTGTAGCTCACTCTGACATGCTGCTAATCAGCTTCTGGACCAACTCCTGAGTGATGGAGCTCATTCATGCATGAAATAGTCAATATTTGTGGGTTTCTGTTTGTCTTACTGCCTCCTGAGGATGGACTACAAGTTCTCAATTGGATTGTGGTCTGGGGGATTTCCTGGACCTTGACCCAACATGTTGCTGTTTTTTTCCTGACCTAATTAGTTATGCCATCATCCTTCTGGCTGGGTGCTCATAATGCTCGAGAAGACATTGATCATCACCAAACTGTTAATAGATGGCTGTGTCAGGAGTACTGTTGGGTTGAAGAGCTGAAGTGAGGATCCAAATGCAGGTCAGTCAAAAAAAAAAAAGCCCGGTAAAGACCAAGCCCCCATAATTCGGTTCTGAAAGTGAGGCCAATGCGGAAGTGAAATAAATTGCAGTTCCACCCTCATCCACTAGGGGCTGGTGTCAGAAGCGAGCAAATCCTCATTGACTCCCATGTTAAAAATATCAATTTCACAGCAGAAATAAACATGTTTACAGCCTGGTACCAAAACATGTTTTTGGTTTAAATGATCTAGTTTACACTCATGACCACTCTGAGGGGGTGAATTTTTTTCTCACTCTTCTGTTTAAGTGTATTAAAAACCTAAAATTCTGTATAATTAATGAGCATCAGACCCACGTGACCACAGAGCTAGCTCCGTGGAAAGGCCTCAGTAGAGCCTCGGTCTGCCTCGAAACTGTTCGGTCATTTTCAGTCTCTCAACTTAGACCATTAGTTGTAGCTTTTGTGCATTCTATTATGGATATTATTTGTGCAATTGTTGGACAAAATGACTTGCTGTGGCATTAATTGCACTAATAGAGCGTCCAAGGAGTCTCCACTTCATTTTTTTCGGTAAGTAAAATTATATTTATGTATTTTAGGTCACTGCCGAGCTGAGCTTAGATTTTAACATGTACTGTTTAACCATGAAATTTAAATGTAATAGGGTAAAACCCAGTGCATTTAGAAAATGGGTTGAAATATAACATGTTGGTGGAGCTGGGTTCCGACTATTAGTATGGTCCCCTCCCCTCAGCGGCAGCTCAGCTCTGATCGCAGCTGCACCTGTCTGCAGCGTGGGCTGCTGCCTTGTGGAGCTCTCGGTTGGAAACCAATGTTTTCCATCCGGTTCTCCCCAGCGGCAGCTCGGCACATTTCTGATCACAGTGGCGTTTGTCTGCCGCGTGGCTGCCGGCTTGTGGAGCTCTCTGGAGACCTCTGTGTTCCACCCGGTTTTACCAAGCAGTCAGCCCGGCGTATCTCTGACTCCGAAGGTCCGGTGTTGTGCACAGTTAACTCCGGTTGGAGCTAGGTTTCTACCTCTGTTAGCTTAGCTCCCACCTCCGTGTTAGCTTTGGGTTAGCTTATAGCTACATCGCTTCAGTTCGACAGGTGTCGTTATTTGATCCCAGCCTTACAGCCCTACCCTCAGCTCCTCCTCTCTTCCCTTTTTTGGAATTGTCTGGGCTTGACGGAACCTGTGACACGGTCAAAATGGCGGTGGTGGCCACCTCCCATTTTAGTACAAAAACGTATTATTGGAGCCTATGGGCACAAATTGTCCAGTATATATGTCGATGGTAAAGATGTATTAAAGGGTTTTAATGAGGAGCACGCTGACAAGAAAACAATGGACAGACAAGGAACACAGAACTGGGAGGGTTTAAATACAGGAGGAGCTGGGACCTTGAGTGATTGGGAGACGAGAGGCAGGTGGGAGCAATTAACATGGACACAGGACTGAGCAGAATGGGGAGACAGGAAAGGTTGTGACAGGCTGGAGGAGTTCCTCTGGGAGGATGTTTAGGTACCATTCTTTCTTCATGGCTGTTCTGAAGCTGAACTGTGAATGAATTTTTATGACTTTTCTCTGGTCCTCAGCTGTCCAATCACAGGACCTTTGGTGGGATGCAGTCTGTCTCTGATGTTTGTCTTGGAGAGACATGGCTTCTTTGCTGCTCTTCCTGGCATCAGGCCATCCTCCAAAAGTCTTCTCATTGAGCTGAGGATGAACTCAGACCTGCCTGCTGTTGTTTCTCATCAGCTCTACTCTGGCGGAGCCCCAATTCCACAGCTGAGATGGTTCTCATCATTCTCTTTTTTGGTTATCCTGAAGCCTTCTCCAAACTTCAAATGGGACTTTGGGGATGAGTTCATTTTTATAATAAAGATAGACATTTATCTGATCGCTCTTGGATTCATTCATACATTCTTTGGTTTGTGCAAACAGCCAGCACAAACACTGAGACAGAAAACTTTCGGGTGATCAACACTTGTGCCATTCTCTAAATCCTTAGCCACAGCTGAGCATATGTTTACCCGTGTCACAGATCTGAGGTGGCTCTCGTTGGGTCTGAAGTGGATGATGGTGCGATAAACAGAATCCAGGTTCTCGCCTTCAATCACAATCTTTGATCCTCTATATTAAAATAATGGGGAAAAGGTCTGTGTAACGACTTTGTGTGAAGAAAATCATTTACTGTAACATCTATGACCTTTTAATGACCTACCTGTCAAAGCTACAGTCAGGCAGGACTCCTGTCACCTTTGGATTTTCCTTGTAATAAAACACCTTTGTGGTGTGTACAGGAGCTTTGTCGATGAAAACGTTCAGCGGGACATCCCTCACCTCTGACATGGACTGGGACAAGCAGACGATAGATGAAACATTGCCTGTAGACTTTGTGACCCTGCAGACAGACGGACAGATTTGTGAACAGATGAAGATAACCCAGAGTAAATCAAAAGCGTTGAATCTTTAAGTATCTATAAACTCAGTAAGACCCACTGTAGAAAACAAACCAGTCATTTAAATAAGAGCATGTTTATTAGGTTGCACCAATAAAAAGTGTGCAAGGCAACAGCTTTACTTCAGAGGAGAGAAGTGTGATGTAAACAGAGACCATCTTCACCTTTTGATAGGACAGGGTACATCATTAAGAGTAACCTTTCTGGTTTTGCCTGCGTCCAAGTGAAGTCCAGTCACAGTGATGAGTGTTCCTCCAACACGAGGGCCATAGTTGGGCTGGATCCCTGTGATGTTGGGCGTCTACACACAAACTGAATGTCAAGCATTGTTTACAAGTTTAAAGGCAATTTATTAAAAAGTGAATGTTATTTTCAGGTTTTGGTGTTTTATGTGTAGAGATTACCACAAATGTGAACCCTGGCATTTCTGCCTTCCCATTAATAGAGTAGCGTCCTTCCACCTTGCCCTCGCGCACCTCTACAGTGATGTGGACTGGCTTGGACAGCTCCGTCACGCCAGAGCGAATCTTACACACTAAACTGAAGAGCAGCAAAACCATACATGTTAGCAGCAACCACAGATCCCATAGAACCAAGGATAATGGAATAGTTTTGCCATTTCTAACTGTCAAAATAAAAGGAGATGAAATACCCACCTCAGATCTTAAACTGAGCAACTCAACCCAATTCAATATGGCTACCACAGCTAATCTTAGGTCCTTTTCACACAGCAGAATTTAAAAACTGTTGACGATTTTCAAAGACCACACGTGGCGATGAAATTTCACGGGTATAATAGTTTTTGTGCTACAGTGAGAGGTGTGATCTGCTGCAGGCTTCCAACAAAAGATGATGGCATATGAAGCTCTAGCATGTGGCAGATGTCACTAGCTCCTGTTGATTGTGTAATTTTAGAGGGCCTTACAGATTTATAAATATAAAGCAACGGTTTGAACATAATGTCTGTGGTCACACAGTTACTCACTGAGTGTTGTTGCTTTTGAGTGGAATCACGGTGCAGGACGTCTGTCCCAGTCGAACCCGGTGGGTTCTGGAGGTGATCGGAGGTTTTAAAGGAGACTGGAACGACCATCCACACACTGTGAGCTCTGTTTGACCGTCAAGAGGAGCAGTCTGAGGGAAAAACTGCAACAAGACAACAGAATGATTACTTCAACTGTCCTGTGCTCAGCGGGTTATTCATTCATTCATATTCTGGAAAACAGGTCAAACCTCACCCCAGTGATCCCTGGTGGGCAGGACTCATTCCCCCAGTGGCTCTGGCACTCACTCTTCCACGAACACGCTCCAGAGCACCAACCACAGCCCATGAACTTTGGGGCCGTTAGGCACATTGCACAGGTCACAAAGTGGTGACAGCCCGGCCCTCTCTGGGGGACCTGAATCATCTAAACAGTAAAATTAAAAGATTCTCTTCACAAAGTAAACTTGTAAATGCCCTGCCCAAGTCTCTTCATTTTCCTGTTCTAGTCCCCCAAAAACCAAAAACACGTCGCATCCTTCACCCTACAAACATGCCTATTGGCACCTAAAAGGGCAAATGACTGACACTTTTCCTTTGATGTCTCTTTGCACTGAACATACACACAGTTTGCAGGCGCAGTGTGTGTGCTCTTTTCTACTGCCTCAAGGAGCTTCACACACTGACCATAACCTGGAACAAAATAACCCCCGTAGTGGCTTGCTGCAGTATGGGTTTAAGCCCCACCCCTCTTTAACAGCAAAAAAGACGTATAGAGAGCCTAAGTCATGCCCATCTACTTCTGGACCATGGGTCCCCGGAAGAATAAAAAAAACTGTATGTAAGTCAGCAGGGTTAAAAACGCTGTTTTGATGTCTGTGAATTTTAAACCAAAAAAGCACTTTTTTTAATGGTTGGAGCGTTATTTTAGGTTTTGTGTGAAAATAAGTCTAAGACTACAAATGCGCATCACGAAAGTGACATCATCGAACCAGAGACAGAGTAAAAGAAAGGGAAAATGGCTGTAAGTCCAGCGAACCTCAAATACTTCATTCAGGAGGAAAGAACCACCATAAACTAGTCCATGTGGTGAGTAGCAGCTACGCTAGGGGACAGGAGATTCTGTGGTGACGTCATATATGCAACATGCTGGTGTCTGATTTGCAGTCATGCTAATTACAAGCTTTTACAAGCTGAAAATCACCCATCATTACTTTTCATTTAAACTGAAGTACATCATATGTGTGATCCTAAGGCTAAGCAGAAAATAGCTCTTTTAGACCCGTCGACTTGAATTTATTTTTTGATAGTGCAAAGAAAAAACAAGTAATTTTAGCTAACTAACATTCTGTATCTCATATTATCCATTCTTCAACTTTAAACACGTGTACAACATGACACCCAGTTAGGCCAGCTGAGCTGAGCAAACAAAGAACTAGACCTCAGATACACCACGCGTTGACATTTTGAGTGAGACGAGAAGATGCTGGAGAGTTTTACGTATAATATGCACGTGTTATGTAAAGGTTGTGCCACTGAAAGAGTAAAAATATCCAATGTTACATTTTATTATTGCCAGTGTTGGCCGATGATGGACCGATAATATGGTACATCCCCATTACCTTGTTATTTATTACTTATCATGACAGTGTGCAGGTGACAAAGTGGGACTTTCAGCTTTTTTCTCAGATTCAGCAGTAAATTTGTCTATTATTGTGTATTGTTGTTTAACTGATAAAAACAGGGAAGGTTTACCTGAAGAGCTCCCTGCTACACAGCAAATGTCATCTCAGATAAATACACCTTTATTAAATATGACGTTTAAACGGACAGTAAAAGCAGTTAGACTTGTACCTTGTCTCCAACGACAAAAAGTAAATACTCTGAAGAGTGGACAGCTGCGATAGAAGAAACCCTCTGATTCTCCACCAAGGAGTAATTAGCAAAGATGATGGGACTGGATCTGGTCAAAACAAGCTGCCAACACAGACACAAATAATTATTCATACCAAATGATAACAAGTAAAATTTAAAAATAAATTGAAAAACGTGACTAAAAACATTTTCTTTTCTTTTACTTGAAGCAGCCGTCCAGCTGATGTGCCGATATGAGCTACGGTTTTGTGCTCTATGGTTGTGACCAGGAGAGACGTGAGCAGGACGTTTGTCATCTGCCTGTTGAAGAGGTCCACTCTGTAGTACGGCTTTGACACCATGGTGGGATGGTCTCTGCATGTGGCGTTGTTCTCCATGCTCTGACGGGTTAGACCCGCCGCCACCAAAACAAACCAGAAACAGTGAAGAAGAGAATAAATACCTAACACCGACATCTCTCTTTTTTTTGAGTGAATAAACAAATCATACTTGTTAAAATTACTGAAACACTTTGTCTGTCATGACCTGTGTCCTAGGTCTCCCCAGTCTCACCCTAGCCCCCCTCTCTGATTGTGTGTCCCTCTTCATTAGTCCAGCAGGTCTCAGTCCCCATCCTTTAGTTTATTATTCAGTTTCTCATTTGTGTCGTTTGTATTGTCAGGTCCCAGTTTGTTTAGCCACAGGCCTTCCCTTTTTTCTGTTAGAAGTTTTGACTTTTGTTCTGACATATTTGTTTTTAAAGGTGTACTTTACTGAAAAACTAATTTTAATGATTATTTCTGATTATAATGGGTAACTCTGAGTTTTTTATACAGGCTTAACATGAAAATAGTCTCCTACACCTATGTCTGCATTAGCTTCTGATAGAAACCAACGGTGAAACTCTAGGATTAGAAAAGCCTGACAGATTTACGTCACACTGTCATTTAACATTCATGGACTCACCCATCTTGGTTCACGATGGGGAAGACTGTTGGTTAAGCGTCCAGGAAACAGCAGAGAGCATCTCAGCTAGTAGAAGCTAACTGTTAGCATTAGCAACTCCACCACACAGCAGAACTCCTCTAGCTTGAGTTATTTGTGGAAATAAAACATCAAAGTTGCAGAGCAAACAGAGTCAGTGGTAGAGTCGTGTTGCTGTTAGCCAATCAGAGATGTCCAGACAACAAGAAATAAGACTCCAAATCCCGTAGTCGGAAAGTCACCTCTGATCTGGCAATCATTTAGAATAAAGGGATGAGACTTATTTCAACCAGGCTTCCTGTTAGAAAAATACTTCGACAAAAGGCGTCGCCTGGAGGACAGAGAGTGGCACTGAGGCAATGATTGACGGCACCCCCTCAACCTTCCAACGTGAACTCTTGGAGCTTCTCATTCAAAAGAACAACTCGTCAACAAGCGCATGCACACTCACGCGTGCACATGAGCACACACAAAGAGCAGACTCACCGCTCAGGAGAAGGGCAGACACAGAAACTGACTGCAGGAAGGAGGATTTCCTGTTCACCGCGATCACTAGAAGAAAGGAGAGGAGGACGTTTTTTAAGAGGGCCAGCGGCTCTAAGCGCCAACGCATCATATCAGCAGGTGAGTGGTTGAGCCAGGTGGAGGTGCAGCCAAGACTCAGCAGGAGTCCAGTGCAGAGCAGCCACGTAGTACGGCACAGACGTCACCCTGCAGCTCTACAGCAATCAGCTGTGGCTGATTCTAAATCGATGCGGAGCAGAGTTTTAACCTGAAGATGGAGATAGAGTTACGGTTTTGGGCTGAAGTATTAAATTTTAAGTAAGTTGCACTAAACTGCCTAAACAGTGATTGCACATGTCTACAGCACTATTATACACTGATCTACATCGGTTATCAGCAAAAAAAAACTGTTAATTTAGGTGTTGCTCGCTCTTTAAAAGCATTCATTCCTACTAGACCACTGCAATTGATTAAACTAGTGAGCCACATCTTTAAAATTTGAGGTAATTTGCTGGATTCGTCTTGCAAAGAATGAAAATAAAAAATTATGAAGAAGCGTTCAGTTCTCAGCTCCAAGGAAAACTCTCCCAGCGTTGCCATTGGTGCTCCTGATTCAGAAAGTGAAAGTTAGTGGGAGGAGTCGGAGGGGTTGGAAAACCAGGATTTGGAGTCTTACTCATTAATATTCATGATACGCAGATGCATAGCCTCTGATTGGCCAACAGCCACCGTCTCTGTTTGCTCTTCTTTTTGAGTAAAAGGTGCAACCCTCATGTTTTATCTCCAAGCTAACACAAGCTTGAACCTGTTCCGCAACGTTGTGGAGTTGCTAATGCTAACAGTTAGCTTATCCAAGCAGAGGCTCGCTCTGCTCTCTCCTAGCCACTAAACCAACACAGCCTTCTCTGCTTTCAAACCAAGTTGGTGAGTTGAAATGTTTCTACTGTCTTTGGGTGGCTAATTCAAGAAATGGGGGTAGAGGACTAGTTTCACGTTCTGCAGGTGAAACTCAGCGTTTCTCAGTGAACCCCCTCTTTAAAGTTTTTGTTAAGCCATGTGCACACTCACTATAGACACATCGGATTTTGTTGGAACCTCTTCTGGTGTTTGTTTTTTCATTTAGATGTTGATCTAAGAACAAGGGGTGTATTGGCAGAAACGCACAGATCTCCACGTTTAGTTTGATTGTGTATACAAATATCAGTGACCTAATTGTTCCATACGTTCCTAACCGAGCACTTCGCTCTCAGACTGCAGGTTTACTGGTGGTTCCCAGAATATCTAAAAATAGGATGGGAGGCAGATCTTTTAGCTATCAGGCTCCTCTCCTGTGGAACCAGCTCCCAGCTTTAGTCTGTGAGGCAGACATCTTGTCTGCTTTTGAGACTAGGCTTGAAACATTTTAATTTGATAGGGCCTATGGTTAAAATCTGATGTTAGCCTAGATCTGGACAAGTGGGGGAGTAGAGGGAGGTGGAGTGTACAGTCGGTAAAGACGGCTCTCCCTTGCCCTGCCTGCAACATACCTCCATCTAACAAGGCTAGGTTATCCAGAGTTATCTCTGTAGTTATGCTGCTATAGGCTTAGACTGCTGGAGGACTCACTGACCACTTTCCACACTCGACTACTTTCTTCTACAATCTGCTCTTTAACTGTATTGTTTCCTGCTATTTCAGCTGTTAACTTTATTTTTTCTCTAAGGGGTTTTCTCCCCAGAAGAAGCTACAATGATGTTCTGCTGAGCTGTGGTGGCCTCATGGAGGGGGCCATCGTCTGGAACACTGCTGCTAACCACTTAAAACATTCTCCCTCTCCTGATAATAACTTTTTACTTTCTTTGACATTGAATGTGCTACTTTTAGTTTACCCGTTTAATTATAGATTCACTAGAATAAATTTAATAAAGTTTATCTCTCGTCAAATAGAAAATTTACTAAGAAATCACAATGTAACCATAGAAACATGACTTGGTATATATATGTGTGTGTGTGCGTGCGTGCGTGAGTGAGTGCATGCGTGCGTGCGTGTGTGTGTGTGTGTGTGTGTGTGTGTGTGTGTGTGTGTGTGTGTGTGTGTGTGTGTGTGTCTGCTCTGTCTTCTCGATCCCCAGTGAGTCGTGGAGGATGGCTGCTTATACTGAGCCAGGATCCTCTGGAGGTTTCTTCCTGTTAAAAGGGAGTTTTCCTCTCCACTGTCGCTAAATGCTTGCTTAGTGTGAGGATTGCATCAAGTCACTGACTAGTGTCAGTGACTTGATGCAATTTGCTGGGTTCCTTATATAGGAAACTTTTTACTGATTGGCTTAATGAACTGACCTGGATTGGAATGCTTATTATGTGAAGTGCCTTGAGACAACTCTTGTCGTGATTTGGCTCTATATAAATAAACTTCAATTGAACTCAATTGAATTGAATCAACAGGCTCACCTCATGTGGACAGCTTTCACATGGCTGGAAGTGGCAAAGCCCCCTGGAGAGCTGCTCTGGTCCTGACTCGCAGCAATCATCTACTCCATCACTGATAGCTTTATTCACGTTGTCCATGGGGAAGGCGCACAGGGCCGAGTCATTCTCCGTGACCCCGTTGTCGTCAGTGACAGCAAACACCCCATAAAGGATGTCATCCTCCTCCTCTGCACCTAATTCCTCTGCCAGCTCCCGGCCAGCCTTCCCAAAATACGCTGCCTGGACCACGTTGTACACAACATCCTTATAGGGTTCGCTGCGTGTGTTCCTCCTCCTGCGTTTTGGTTCAAAGCGACACTCCAAGATCAGCTCACGATATCTTTTTACCTCCCACTCACTCCGGGGGAGACGTCCAAGGCGAGTCTGAAACGGTGATGAGTCCTGATCCGGGCTTTCCCTTTGGACTGACAGGAAGTAGACAAACTCCTGAGTGAAAAAGCTGTAGACATATTCAATGTGGTAAGTCCTGCGCAGGCTGGGCAAGACCGTCAGGCCTCTCACGTCTTTATAAAAGCCATCCTCTGTGCCCAGAGGTCTGCGAACCGATAAGGATTTCCTTCCAAAACGCTGAGTTACGCTGTCATTAACAGAAGCAGCAACAAAGAAGTACACGGTCTGACCCTCCTCCACCATCGACACTTTGGTACCAAGAGGGCTGGCCACACAGTCGGGACAATAAGCTGCAGAGTTCGAGTCCTTCCTGAACAAACACTTGGAGGCAGAAGGTGCCTCTCCATTTGGGTTCAGTTGGTGGAAATAACAGACACCATACTGAGAACTTCCACAAGAGTACAAATACATGAACAGGGTATCCAAGAGCAACACCTGATTGTTTGTATCCTCTGGGAAATAATAATCCTTATTATTTTCCCACAAATTACATATCTGACACTCTGGACTTCCCACCGGCCCAGTGCGGAGTTCCCATACCTTCTCCAAGCTCCTGTTGACAGCTTCAATCACATTCCGAGAAGCCACGTACACTTCCTGGTAAAGTGAGTTGTTGACTATGTTCTGGATGGGTCCCTGTGCCTGGAAGAAGGGCATTGTGTATACCACAGAGAAGTTAACTGGGCTTGGGGCCATTGAGGGACACGTGGCCAAGGCAAAGGCCAGCAGAGTCTGGAGCCAGACGAATGTCCTCCACTTTGAGCTCCAGTAGACCATCTCCACTCCAGGATGAGAGGGGGAGCCCCAGCACAAATGGATTACCTGCAGCCTTGAAGTTGCAACACAAACATCCTTAACACCAACTACAGGCACCTGTGTGGCAAAACAGAGGATGATTAGTACGCTGCCAACTCGGCACTAATCCACAAAAACCTGTTGGACATGACAACATTCTCAGGTGTGTGATGAGAGACTGCTGCTCAGCTGTGTTTACCAACATATTGTGTGGGCGATGGTGGCACAGGAGTTAAGTGCTCGCCCTGTAATCGAAAGGTTGCAGGTTTGAGCCCCGCTCAGTCTGTCGCTGGTGTTATGTCCTTGGGCAAGTCACTTAACCCACCTTGGCAGCTGGTGGTCGGAGGGACCGGTGGTGCCTTTGTACAGCAGACTTGCCTGTCAGTGTGCCCCAGGGCAGCTGTGGCTACAGTGTAGCTCATTACCACCAGGGTGTGAATGGGTGAATGGCTGATTGTGTTGCAAAGAACCTCGGGGGGTTCCAGGACTCTAGAAGGATATATCAGTGCCTCTCTCCAGCAGACAGCTGTACAAGACCAGCCTGAATCAACCCTGAATATAAGAAAACACTCTAACCTGCATTATTGAAGATTTGCCCAAGGCACTGACCTGAAGTGCCTTCAACGACTTGTTATGAGTCACACTGATAGCAGCTTTTCACATTCTCTAGACTTCCTATAGCTTATGCTGCCAGTTCATTCACAGACGGTTCTTCAGCCGCTTGTTTCTGCTGGGACAGAAATCTGAGACAGTATCTGAATATTTATCTTCAGTAACACCTCGTGCTCATCGTCCTGACTAAAGGGGTCCATCAAGGATGTGTACTCAGTCCTCATGCGGCTCACACATGACTGTTAAATTCAGTTCAAACCAGATCAGTCCATTTGCTGATGACACAACAGAGGAAGGACTTAACAGTGACGATGATGATGAACAAATCAAGAGTTGTTCACACGAACGCGGTCCAGACGCCGTATGCCTTCCACCTAAACTGAAAATCCTTTTGTTCTGTCAGAGCATTCTCACCAGCTGCAGTGCGGTGAGCATCTGGATGCAGAGTTTCATCTATGTTTTGGGAATGCTGCCTGCAGATTGTCATGAAATTAGAGAGCCAGACACAAGGAGGGCATGAGCCAGACAGGGAGTTAGGCTTGTTTCAGCAAGGTGCATCCAGTTTATTTCAAAATAAAACCTGTGTTGCGTTGTTTTTATCAGTTTGGTTTTATTATTAGTGACAGAGAAATCAGTTCACAGTGGATGATAGTTCACATTGTTTTAGTCTATCCGTGTAACTAGAAGTGTAACTGCGTCACGGTACTATTGAGATCATCCTGACCAGCTTTAATATTTCTTTTCTCATCTTAAATTGGACGATACATTAGCTTCAATAATAAAAATGGCTGAACATCAGCTAAACGCTGAACTGGAAGAGCTTGGCACAAGAGGGAGATAAAGAGCACTTAGCTTGTGCTTCTTGATGCTCCTGAAATAATAACCTGACGGATTCTTGCCTTGACTCAGAGAAAACCATCAGAAAATCCAGGATGTGCTCCGAGCCAAGAGACCTGTTTGTGAGGCTGTACAGTTTTTATTTGACATTTCTAAAAATGTTATAAAAATGGATGTAAATAACATTTAGACAGAGCTGACCTGTTCTTCAAAGTTCTCTGGTTTATTAGAATCAGTGATCTACTTTATAATAATCTTTGCCCTGATTCCCATCAGCTCTGAGGCAACCATGATAAAAGCAGATGTGGTTACAGAGACGTGACCCACCACCAATACAGATGTTTGTGCTGGTGTTGGTTCTAGACATGGTTAAGATGGTCTCTGTATCTACTCATGCTTGTGCTGGGTTTCAGTCAGCAGGTGATTAGCAGGCTTCTGCAGAACCCTATGAGCTGCTGCACAGTTGATTCAGCCACTGAGTGTAGTGTGTTGGACTGGAGAAACCACTAAAACATGCTCGACACCGGCCCTCGAGACCTGGAATTGAATAGCCCTGAGCTAGGCTGCCTTCAAACTAGCTGTTAGCTCCTCAGTCCTGTAGGGCATAAAGAGACGTCTCTAAACTGAAGCCATGCAAGATGTTTTCTACAACACGGGGAACGCTTTGAAGAATGAAAGGACCTGAAACTTAAAACATCAAAGCGTTTACACAAATAAAAATATGTAAAATATTGCCTGAACTCAACTAAATGTGGCAAATGCAAAAGTTTCACCCTTATCCATTTCTGTCCAACTTCTCTCCGGCATGAGCTGGGGGGTGGATCATTAACCAGAGACATTACAGTAAGACCTCGACCTTGCTACTTTGCATTCCTGTCACAACCACTTCGTGCGTTTCAGGAGGGAAAGATGTGCACGGCCTGATGGACATAAGACAACATGTTCCTATGAAAACATTTCCAATTGTCTTTTCAGCTCATTGTAAAAAATGAACTCAACTTAGGTTATCTTGTTTAAAAAAGTAGAACTTTTCCATCTAGACCAAAGGTTCTGTTTTTAGGAGGAACAGTGCTCGATCTTCCTGAAAGGAAAACTCTGAAACAAAGTCTTTGCATCAATAATTCATAGGATGCCCCTCACGCTGTGGTACATTGTCGTTTCATTCAGGAAAAGGTTTGAGGGCATGGGCTTACATAATAATGTCCCTGATTGACTTCCTCCACGCTGAAAGTATTTCTGTTCGTGGTGTTATTTACAGATCAGCATCCAGACTTCAGGAGTCTGCATCGATGCAAACCCTAACATGCCACAGGTTTGACTTAGGGGGGAACAAAAACTAAATATAGAAAAGAAGGAGAAGTCATCTTCTTATAGGAGATATCTCTGGAGGAAGCAGAACAGGAGATATAAGACCCCGGGGACATGAGCTCCATCATTCAGAGACATTATAGGTCTAGCGTGGCGTTTATCTTCACAAATAAACCAGGATTTACTCTAGCGGTTAAAACAGCAGGATTAAAACCACAAAATGACATTTATTATCACAATCTGTCTTCAGTAAAACAGTGACTCCCAGCTTCAGCCTAAACAGTAAACCTGGAAACAGTCAAATCCAGATCTAGACTCGCTGTCAGACGGAAAGGAAATGGGAGTTTTATCATTTTAAATATCCAAAAACACCCTTTTTATTCTAAGTCTTCACACGCTTTTCTCCTCTGTAGAAACACAATGGCGTTCTGGATCCTGTTGTTGTTATTGGTCATCCTTATGAAAGCAGGTTCTGTGTTTTAGTGGGTTCCTTTCTGGTTTTTGTCCTGTTTATGCTAAAAGCACCTACCCATGCAGGTTGGTCAGCGTCCTCCTCCTGGGAGAAATAACAGCTTTCAGCTTCAGAACCGGGTCGTTTCCTCTGAGAGGCTGGAGTTCAGGCGTGTGGCTTCTGTTTGATGAAAGTCCCAGACTGGAGGTGTTTACCAGACAAGTGTGTGTATGTGTGTGTGTGTTTAGACTTGAGTCTGTGCTCTGCTCCTCCTCCGTCTCACAGCTCCAGTCTGACACCAGAAAACCAACTCAGGATTCGACCTCCATCGTCCATTCAGAGTTTCTTTTGATAAAACTGCAGATAAATTACAACTTTGCCATTTTCCATTTTCATCCGCTTATCCGGGTCGGGTCGCGGGGGCAGCAGCCTAAGGCGAGAGGGCCAAACTTTCCTCTCCCCAGCCACTTGGGCCAGCTCCTCCGGGGGAATCCCAAGGTGTTCCCTGGCCAGGTGAGAGACATAGTCCCTCCACCATGTCCCGGGTCTACCTTTAGGTCTCCTCCCGGTTAGACCAGCCTCACCAAAAACCTCACCAGGGAGGCGTCCAGGAGGCATCCTGACCAGATGCCCGAGCCACCTAAACTGGCTCCTCTCGATGCGGAAGAGCAGCGGGTCTACTCTGAGCCCCTCCCGAATGACCGAGCTTCACACCCTATCTCTAAGGGAAAGCCCAGCCACTCTTTGGAGAAAACTCATTTCGGCCGCTTGTATCCGCGATCTCGTTCTTTCGGTCACTACCCAAAGCTCATGACCATAGGTGAGGGTAGGAACGTAGATCGACCGGTAAATCGAGAGCTTCGCCTTCTGGCTCAGCTCTCTCTTCACCACGGCAGACCGGTACAACGCCCGCATCACTGCAGATGCAGCACCAATCCGTCTATCGATCTCACGCTCCAGTTTTCCCTCACTCGTGAACAAGACCCGAGATACTTAAACTCTTCCACTTGGGGCAGGACCTCATCCCTGACCCGGAGAAGGCATTCTACCCTTTTCCGAATCAAGACCATGGTCTCAGATTTAGAGGAGCTGATTCTCATCCCAGCTGCTTCACACTCGGCTGCGAACCGCTCCAGTGAAAGCTGAAGATCACGTTCTGATGAAGCCAACAGGACCACATCATCTGCAAAAAGCAGAGACCTGATCCTCAGGCCACCAAAACGGATGCCCTCCACACCTTGGCTGCACCTAGAAATCCTGTCCATAAAGGTTATGAACAGAATCAGTGACAAAGGGCAGCCTTGGCGGAGTCCAACTCTCACTGGGAACGAGCCCGACTTACTGCTGGAAAGGCGGACCAAGCTCTGACACCGGTCATACAGGGACCTAACAGCCCGTATCAGAGGGCCTGGTACCCCATACTCCCGGAGTACCCCCACAGGGCCCCCCGAGGGACGCGGTCAAACGCCTTCTTCAAATCCACAAAACACATGTAGACTGGTTGGGCAAATTCCCACGCACCCTCAGGATCCCCCTAAGGGTATAGAGCTGGTCTAGTGTTCCACGGCCAGGACGAGAACCACATTGCTCCTCCTGAATCTGAGCTTCAACAATCAGACGGACCTTCCTCTCCAGAACCCCTGAATAGACCTACCAGGAAGGCTCAGGAGTGTGATCCCCCTGTAGATGGAACACACCCTGAAGTCCCCCTTTTTAAATAAGGGGACCACCACCCCGGTCTGCCAGTGGTGATGTCAGCGCGAAATTGCAGAGCCGCGTCAGCCAACACAGCCCCACAACATCCAGAGCCTTAAGGAACTCCGGCAGATCTCATCCACCCCTGGAGCCTTGCCACAGAGGAGCTTTTTAACCACCTCAGTGACCTCAGCACCAGAGATTTGAGAGGCCAACCCAAAGTCCCCAGACTCTGCTTCCTCACTGGAAGACTTGTCGGTGGGATTGAGGAGGTCTTCGAAGTATTCTGCCCACCGATCCACAAAGTCCTGAGTAGAGGTCAGCAGCACACCGTCCCCACTATAGATAGTGCTGGTAGCGCACTGCTTCCCCCCGAGGCACCGGATGGTGGACCAGAATCTCCTCGAAGCCGTACGGAAGTCTTGCTCCATGGTCTCACCGAACTCCTCCCATGACCAGGTTTTTGCCTTGGCGACCACCCGAGCCGCATTCTGCATGGACTGCTGGTACCGTCAGCTGCCTCTGGAGTCCCACAGGCCAAAAAGACCTTATAGGACTCTTTCTTCAGCTTGACAACATCCCTAACCACCGGTGTCCACCAGCAGGTTCGGGGGTTGCCACGACAGGCACCGACGATCCTGCGACCACAGCTCCGATCGGCCACCTCAACAATGGAGGTACGGAACAGGGTCCATTCAGACTCAACCCCGGAACATTTTGGAAGTTCTGTCGGAGGTGGGAATTGAAGCTCTTTCTGACAGGAGACTCTGCCAGACGTTCCCAGCAGACCCTCGCGATACGTTTGGGCCTGCCTGGTCTGACCGGTATCCTCCCCCACCATCTGAGCCAACTCACCACCAGGTAGTGGTCAGGTGACAGCTCCGCCCCTCTCTTCACCCGAGTGTCCAAGACATGCAGCCGCAGGTCAGATGAAACAACAACAAAGTCGATCATCGAGCTGCGGCCTAAGGTATCCTGGTGCCAAGAGCACATATGGACACCTTTATGTCTGAACATGGTGTTCATTATGGACGATTCATGACTGGCACAGAAGTCCAATAACAAAACATCACTTGAATTCTGATCAGGGGGCCGTTCCTCCCAACCACACCTCTCCAGCTCTCACTGTCGTTGCCCACGTGAGGGTTAAAGTCCCCCAGCAGAACGAGGGAGTCACCAGAAGGATCGCTTTCCAGCACCCCCTCCAAGGTCTCCAAAAAGGGTGGGTAGTCTGAACTGTAGTTTGGTGCATAAGCACAGACCACAGTCAGAACTCGTCCCCCCACACAAAGGCGGGGGGAGGCTACCCTCCTATTCACTGGGGTAAACCCCAGCGTACAGGCACCAAGATGGGGGCAACTAGTATGCCCACCCCTACTCGGCGCCTCTCAGTGGGAGCAACTCCAGAGTGGTAGAAAGTCCAACCCCTCTCAAGGAAACTGTTTCCAGAGCCAGAGCCATGCGTTGAGGTGAGTCCGACTATATCTAGTCGGAACTTCTCAACCTCACACACCAACTCAGACTCCTCCCCCACCAGAGGTGACATTCCAACATTCCACTCCAATTACAACTTTGCTTCAAATCATAATATTTACCATAAAATCTGAATATTTAAACACAATTAAATCTACATCCAGCAGCTTGACTAAAATGAACGTTAGAGCTCGTTTCCGTGTTTTGTTGGTAGGCTGCCTCCCCTTTACTCTGATATTACATTCACATTTAGATGCCAAAATTAAGATCTCAACATTTAGATTTAAATGCATTTTAAGGCTTTAATGAGGCAGATAACATGGCTGTTCATTTTGAACGTCTTACAACTGGAAGCCCATGAAAGCATCAGCATGAAGTCTGCAGTTCGTCATCTGAAAATGATAAAATGAGTTTTCTATTTAAATGAACTTTCCAAACACGTTAAGACTATTTAGATTTAACTTTTAATTTTAAATAGAAGTATTTCAATGTTCATTCATTTATTTAACCTTTTTCAAAAAAAATTTCAATCACCTTCATTTCGTATGATTTAAATGTGTAAAATATGGATATAAATATTTAAATGTTTAGAGCATAAAGGATGAGTCAGACGACAGCGTTTGCTCTCTAAGCTGTTTATTACCAGACTGTTATTTTGAAATTCCGTTCATGTCTTTACACAATAAAAGTCATGATGAGCTACAGAAGCAGGAGCCAGGAAGAGATTACGCAGACAAACCCAGAGAAACACTCAAACCTGCAGATTTTGACACGTGCAGAAAGGCTTCCTGTCCACTAGAGCAGCAAACAGGAAAGCATGAAAACAGACAGAATGAACAGCTTGAGTGATTCTGCTGTAAATCCATCCATCCATCTTCTGAACCCGCTTGTCCATGTGGGGTCACGGGGGGGGAGCTGGTGCCTATCTCCAGCGGTCAACGGGCAATTAGGCGGGGTACACCCTGGACAGAGAGCCAGTCCATCGCAGTGCAACACAGAGACACACAGGACAAACAATCATGCACACACACTCACGCACACACACCTAAGGACAATTTGGACAGACCAATCAACCTAACAGTCATGTTTTTGGACTGTGGGAGGAAGCCGGAGTACCCGGAGAGAACCCACGCATGCACAGGGAGAACATGCAAACTCCATGCAGAAAGATCCCAGGCCGGGAATCGAACCCAGGACCTTCTTGCTGCAAGGCCACCGCTCTAACCACTGCGCCACTGCGCAGCCTCTCTGCTGTAAAAGTAAGATAAAAAATGAACATGCTGATCATGGAGGGAAGCCTGGAGGCAAAGTGATCGTGGTCTTCAGAAACATGAATGCTCAACGGGAAGGCAGCTGCTCTGAAAAGCCGCTACGCCGAGTTTCTGGATTTTTTTTCTTTTTTTGACATTTCTAAAAAGAGTTGAAAGCATTAAAAAAAGGCAAACAGCAACTTTACCTTTGTGAGAGGAGTGGCAGCTCTGTTACAGTCAAAATGCTGTTGAGAACCACATTGATGCTGCTTTTCAAAATAAAAGGTCTAAAACTCACCAGCTAAAATACTGCTTTAGTTCATCCTGTTCAATCACAAACCCGGTTTTGTTACACTAGAATCAGAAATGCATAGCTCTGACAATCGTCATGTCTACAGCGAGATGATTGGTGCTCTATCCGAGGTCAGGAGGTCGGCGAGGACTCAGTACGTGAGTGGGCTCAAGATGAAAAGACGATCTTCTTCCTTCCTGATCCACTTCAGAAGTTTGTTGACAGCAGCGACGGCTGAGGCCTTGGAGGCCAGCGGACTGAAGCAGAGGTAGAGCTCAAAGCCGCTCGTCACCTGGAGGAGATGGAAAAGATGAAGAAACACAAAGAAAAGGCTGGATTTCAGCATGCAGGACGACTCGGGTCCCACAGACGGACACAAAAAGCTGCCCAACAATTAAACCCTCTCTCCTTGGTCGTCAAGACAAAACCAAAGCAGTTACGTTTCTGCAAATGTTAGTCTGGAGCTGAGAATGAAAGCATCTGGTGTTGCTAGGCAGCATTGTTGAGTCAGCTCTGCATCCTGTACACGCCTGCTGTCCTTTCCCGTAGAAACACCGTTACAGAAATACGTCAACGTTTAATAACTGAAAATATCACTTTTAATCACCATTTGTTGACATGTTTTAATTAACCTGCTCCTAATTCATCTCAACACTGAATCAGAATGATATGATGATGTCTGACACGTAGAACTCAGATTCAGACATGGACACCTTTTTGTTTTCTACTCAGATTTTACTGTTAAAAAGCAAAAGAGGGAGAATCTTGCTCAGGGCCGAGACGTGAGCTCATGAACTAATAAGAAAGACCAGAACTCACGTTCAGCAGATGCCGTGGTCGTTCCTGAGGACAGGTACATGTAGGAATGAACTGCTTGGTTTGTTTTTGGCACATTTTACAGCTGCTCTCCCAAAGCCCCTCGGAGGGCGTGGGTAAAAAACCCAGCTCCTATTATTTTTACCCTTTGAATCCTCTTAAACGCTGTTGTCTTGTTCAGATCTTTTCACGCCTTTATTTACTTTGTACTCCTTACGTTTATTTACAGTACGACGAAGATGAGAGAAACAGCGTTTAAATGTCCTGAACTTTAGAAACGAGAGTTTTTTCTTCTCTTTCAGGATCACATTGTTATTATGAACCTACCTGGACATTACTCATGGAAAGCAACCCCCCATTATGGCAGCTGGTTCAGTTTTAATCCCTACTGGATTTTCTCCATGTTGCCCAACAACTTCCCAAAGACTGGAGCTCTGGCTGTTTCATTACGCCACACGTTATCTAAGTCAGGCTACGGAGTTCAGGCCACGATAGATGGGAGGTCTAATAATACCATTACAGTCAGAGACCATGTTTGGATCAGTTAGGTGTGTTTTCAGATGAGAGATGAACCATGTCTCCATCACACTGGTTACCATTAAAGCTAGGACCAGATATTGAAGACTGTGGTGCGGTATAATGTTGACCAATGCAAAAAATAGCCAATCCATTTCAGAAAACAACTAAATAGAATCAACCCTTCATGGTCTGCTCCCCCCGCGACTAAGACTACGGACTAGAACCGTGGATGCTGCGTGTCGGGTGCCCTACACACTGGATTAGAACATGGCGTCTGACATCACAGCAGGACCTGCGATGGGTCAGTCGCACAGTCGGATGTCGATGCTCAAACGCAACTTGGTCTAGTTGGGGGGGGGCGGGGGGTGTCTCCAGGATCTAAGCATCAACATCGGGATGCTTTTTCTCTTACGAACACGAAGTATGAATGTCTGTGTTGAAGCAGTTACCCAAGCCAGCAGGTTCTCAGTTTCTCCGCACCGGTAGAAGGAGCGCAGGGGTCTGGTTGGATGGTGCAAACAGCTGTGGAGGTCCTGGTACAGCCCCATCAGCCGCTCCTGCTCTTGTCCAGACCGGTACACATCAGGGAACTCGGGACTGGAGGGAGGACAGCAGGTTTGAAAACTTCACAAAAACAAAGAAACCTGGCCTGGCGTGTTGCATTTCACCAGCTCCAGCTCTGAAGTGGAAATAACTGAGGGACATTTAGTCATCCAGCTGGCTTTCTGATGGACGTATGAACTTTAAAGGAGGACACACCTGGTGTACAGCCCTGAGCTCTTTGACTTGTACAGGAAGTGTCTGAGGTCTGGGATGCCGACCTGCGACACCGGGTAGGTTGGACACTTAAGCGCCTCCTTCAGGCTCTGGTAGGCGCAGCGCTTACTCAGCCTCTCCAAGAAGCGCTGCTTACAGTCAGACATGTTAAAGAAGTCCTCTCTGTCGGTGGAGACCAGGATGAGGCAGAGCTCAGACGCAGGCTCCAGGTAAGAAATGTGAGCGTGGAAAAACCCAGATGTGTTGAACTTTGGCAGGCAGATGGGGGTCCAGCCCTCGCCCTCCCGGAAGCTGGAAGATGAGCCGACGAGGTTCAAGACCAGGTGTAAGTCTATGTGGTGGAGGAACTGGTCCTTTTTCCTGATTAGAGTGACCAGCCGGTCTCCGGCCAGCAGGATGGAGAAGACCAGGTTCTTGGCTTTGGCGGCCTGCAGGCTGGACGACACCGCGTCCCTGGAGCAGCTGGCCAGAGGCAGACAGGTGACGGCGCTGAGCAGCAGGCCGGGGTCTCGCTCCAGGCGGTGCAGCAGGTTGTCGGTGAGGTACTCGGAGCCGGCCAGCAGGCGGCGCAGGTCGTAGTTCTGCTTGTTCTGGAAGATGTGGTTGAGCTGGGTGAGCGTGAGCAGGCTGACGATCTGGTAGTAGATGTACTGAAGCTCTCGCAGCAGCTCCTTGTCTGACTGAGAGGTCCGAGACACGCCCACCAGAACCAGAGGACTCTTGGTGAGGAACACCACCTTACAACCATCTGAAATAACAAACATTAGAAAAAGTTTGACTAATTGTACATTTTATATTAGTTTGAAACTGGTGGCTGCCGCGGTGAGCGCTGACCTGCATGGATGGAGCGGATGATGTTCTTCTCAGCCTCTACGAAGGACACCAGGGCCATCATCACCCCCATGGTGCTGGACAGAGCCTCCTCCGTGCCGTAGCGGGTGTAGATAGGCTTTCCAGCCTCGCTCAACACAAACACGTGCTTTTTATGACTCCGCCACGCCTCACTGGACACATCCTCCTCCTTTGTCCTGCTGTCTGATGAAAAGTCGTGGTTCTGCACCTTGTACTCCCCTTCATCTGGTCCTTCTGGGTTTTCCTCTGCAGCTGATCTCTGCGCCTCTTCTTCTGCCTCAGAAGTCAGATCTTCGAAGGACTGTGCTTGGACAAACATAGCACTCCTCTGACCAGCACCTGCGTGGGTGCAGAAGGACAAAATCTCACTGGCAGCAGGTGGAAATACTCTCTTCCCATCATGCTTTGGCTTTAAGCAGGAACACGACGCCAGGTTGATGGAACCGGTGATAGAAAAACAGCCACAGAAGATATCCTAAACTATTCAGGCTGAACTCCAAAGTCACCTTCTGATCACAACAAGAACACAACAGAGAAACATGGAGGAGGCCTGGTTGTGTTTGGGGGCAGCTTAGCTACATCTGGAATGAGGAACCTTGAATTGTTTGGTGTATAAAAACATCCAAGGGTATCCTGGAGGGGAAAAAAAACACCCAGTCACAAATATCAGCGTCAATTTCAGTTCCTGAGTCCTCTAACAGATCACGAGCCCAAACGATCAGCTTAAAGCACCCAAAAACGGCCGAGATTAAACCAAAAACCTTCTCCATGAGCCCAGACCTGCAGCGTGGAGGCACCTCCCTTCAGCTCCGAGACAGCTGGAGCAGTTCGTCTCAGGTAGACGTTTCATGGTTGGCAGCAAGGGCTTCAACAGGTGCAGCTAAAACACTGAATGGCTCCGTTCACATCCGTTAGCAGAGTTGTTAAAGATTCTAGACTCGGTTCATCAGTCTGATACAAAAACAAGCCCACTTCTGTCTGAGGTAATGTTTACAAAACACACAGAACTCATAACAACAATAACAACAATAATGGATTCGTATCTTATGGAGCTTTTCAAGGCACCCAAAGCGCTTTACAAAGAAGGCATCATTCACTCACTCTGCTGATGAACTACATGTGCACCATCAGCCCCTCTGTGCACCACCTACATGGGTAAGTGACTTGCTCATGGACACAACAGCAGAATGCTCTGAGCTGGAATTGAACCAGCACCACTGTTAACACATGAAGAAGTTCAGGGATACGTCGGATCAGCCTGTAAATAAGAACTTTATCCTGATTTTTACTCATGCTCCGTTTTGTTTTCATCCAAAAGAAGTCTGATTGTAAAGAGCACAAAATAAACTGTCTTCAGAAAAAGATCATCACATCTGAAAGTTTAACTCCTAAACCGCTAAAGTTAGGATGTGTGTGTGTGTGTGTGTGTGCGTGTGCGTGTGCGTGTGCGTGTGTGTGTGTGTGTGTGTAGGATTTCCAGGTGTCAGAAGAACACATGACCACGTGCTGCAGTCAAACTCAGACCCACGTCTCCTCACATATGTGTGGTGTGTGTGTGAGTGTGAAAACAGCTCAACTGTCATGTTCTGCATTTGTTTGTGCGCACAGGATGTGCATGATCATGCCCTTTCACAGCAAACAGTGCAAGTTCCCCGCTAAACTGTGTCTTTAAAAATCAGCATTTCACACAACTGAAACGTGCAATTGTGCTTTTCTGTATGAAAGAGGTGGCCGGCTGTTGTTTTGTACTCTTCTAACAGGTTCGGTATCTTATCTACGGACCGTGGCGTAATCAACAGCTGGGGGTGTGCTGGGAGGCTCCATCTAATCCAGACTGACCTGCAGTCTTTGAAATGAGATAAATGGAGATAAAACCCTGCTGATTGTGGCTAACTGTGATATTTCAGACTGCAGAGATCACATTAGTGGATGAGGATCAGATTCATATGGAAACCCACTTGTGTGGAGGTTTACCTTCTAAAGCTCTACGTTAAAACATGCAGTAAACGGGACTGAAGGAGTCCAGCCCACCTGGTTCGGTTCCCTCCACCAGACCCGGTGTGGGGCTGTCCGCCCTCTCTAAACGGAGCCGGTCCACAGGAGCGAGCATGCAGTCCTCCCACGACTCAGTCCCCGTGGCGGTCTCTCCATCCATCGCTGCTAGAAGTGGCAGAGACGCACTCCTGGCAGCACAGACAGACAGGTAGCAGCTTGTACTAATGAAGAGGCGTCCAAAACACAAACAGCAAATCCTTTTTGAATGGGTTTGAGCTCCAGAACCAGCAGCTGCTGGAGAACTAGAACCCCAGAGATGATTCAGTAACTCCTCGCATCCTTTATTCAAACAGAAAAGCTTGTTTGATGTCCTTCTCAGACGTACGTGTCGAGAGCTAAAGCTGAACTTTGTGTTTTGTTAGCTAACTTCAGCAGAATATCAGCGGTAGGTTAGCTAGTTTCCACACCAAAACATCTCATTACAATTTAAACATATTTACCTTTCATTTTCACGGTTATCTGCATTTAACACGAGTACTACTGACTCGTGTGTGACACCTGTAGCAGCTAGCGAAAACTAAACACTTCTGTAAAAAATGCTAGTAGGTTACGGAAGTAGGCATTGTGGGATATGAAGTTCTCTTTCAGAAAACTTACTAAAGATTTGGCCCCAGTCTGTCTTAAAAAGCATGGTTAAACTGCCCCGGTAAAACGTAAAGATTTTAAAAAGTAATCTGAGTAATAGATTAGTAAATTGTTAGTGTTTGGTTGCATTTATTGTTCATCTGTTTTTATTCTCCTGGTGCATTCATGAAACCCTGTTAATAAAAGGACTTTGGAATCGATGTCCAAGGAAGGTCCCGCCTTTCTCGCCTCTGATAGGCTGGAAGGGCTCTCCTACGATTGGCTAATTCATGTAAGAGGAAACCGTCTTCCCTCGCTGCAGGCCGGGTTTGTTGTATGTTTGCAGGCAGATCTTAAAATGTGAACTTAGCGCTATAATAACTACTGTGTCCTGTTTTGCAACATCCCACTCTCCATTTATTTTACTAAAGAACCTGGAAAACCTCCAACGTGTGTTCCAGACACTGGAACGCTCTCCCCCTGAACCTGAGATCAGTGGACTCAGTGGTCTCCTTCAAAAAGTCACCTGTTTAAGCTGGTTTTTATGACATCACTACCCTTTCCTTATTCTGCTCTTATTCCGCCTTTCTATGAGCCACTGATTCCCCTTTTTCTTCATTTTCTCTCTCCCTTTCCTTACATTTCTTTTTTTAATCACAATTTTGTTTCTCATTTTAAACATGTTTTCGTTTTTTGAAAACGTTTTTATACTTTACATAGGCGCAAGGGCGTCAGTTTGTTTTCAGAATTGCTGGGGACAATAACCATACACTTGAGTGGGGTTTAAAAATTGCTGGGGACAATAAAGTAGGCTAGCACAGGGGTCGGCAACCCGCGGCTCCTCCATCCATCTGATGCGGCTCTCTGTGCTTGTAAAATAATGAATGGATATTTAAATAAAATGCTTCATATTTTACTGCATTAATTTTACACCTGTATGCCAATTATAAATGTAAAGATTGTCTGCGTGAACCTGAATAGGTCCAACCCGGTCTTACTGTGAGACCGGGTTGACGCGTCACGCTTGTGAAGCAGGCAGGTCGCGCTAGAAAATTTCATTTAAAAAGACGTCATAAATGTGTTCCCCCGTCCTTTGTATTTATAAAATATGAAGTAAAAACTCACAATTTAATTTTCATTCATTTGTCATTAATATGTAGTCTACACCCATGCGTTAAGTGGACCAACTTCCAGTAAAAGCAAAGTATCCAGCCCACCTTTCCAAATGCGTAAAATGTGCATCAGCCGCTAGTTAGGCGCGCCTCGCGCACCATCAGTTGATCAGCCCAGACAAGAGCAGAGCAAATAGAGAAAGAATAGAGGATAATTCTGTCTGGATGTGGATGGAGATTATTTTACAGCAGCCTGATCATCATTTAAATACGTAAACCATCACCTGTCTTCTAGTCCACGCTATCAGCATTATTTTAATTGGTGTGTGTGTGTGTGTGTGTGTGTGTGTGTGTGTGTGTGTGTGTGTGTGTGTGTGTGTGTGTGTGTGTGTGTGTGTGTGTGTGTGTGTGTGTGTGTGTGTGTCCTTCCCAGTCAGGTCTGGTGTCCTGCTCTGCTCCTCTCCTCATTAGTGCTTTCACCTGTGCCAGTTCCCCGCACACCTGCTCCTCGTCTCCTATCACTCCAGCCCCAGTGTATAAAGCCTCTCCTTGTCTCATTGTTCTTGTCGGTCCATTGTTGCTGTCAGTGTGACTTATTCTGTCAGTCCTGCTCGTTCCTTTAGTGTTTTTGGATCTCCTGATCATCCCCTGCATTTTTGGACTTTGGCTTCCTGCCCCTTTTGGTTTTTATGTTCGTTTTGGGTTTATCCGAACCCCGGCTTTCCACAGGATCCGTCAGCAGCACATTACTGCAGCAGCACGTCATAGCTGCTGATAGGAACCGCTGTGGTCAACAGAACCTTTTCCACTGGAGCCGTCAGCAGCGCGAGTCGGCCGCGTCTCAGGAGCAGCATGTCGCGGCCTTTACGCGCCGGTTCTATTTTCTACGCGCAACGCCTCTGAAACGGGTCAAGTTCGACATTTTTGGGGAAGGAAAGACAGGAAATCGGACGCGGAAATGGAGAGAAGCTCCCAAGATTTTCAGAATAAAGAACGTGCTGCCTTCCGGTTGCTTTTCTTTTAAAAAAGGTTACTAACTGTGCGGCCCCGTGAGAAGTTATCACCTAGCTAGCGGTGTCCTTTGTTTTTCAGGTCCGTATTGGCGATTATAAAACGGACAGAACATAAAACACAAACCATGTTGTAATTTTCTCCTGCTTGTTGTTGTGTTTACTGACGAAGTTACTCGTGTGACTTCGTGCTCTGTCGGTGACAGCTGCTTCGTGTCTCGTGGGAAGGGCCAAGCAGCAGCTTACGCGAGCAAGACGTGCTGCTGCAGTAATGTGCTGCTGACGGCTCCTGTGGAAACCCGGGGTAAAATAAAAGGATTTTTCTTTATCTACTCCTGCCTCGTGTCATCCTGGGTATCTGCATTTAGGGTCCGAACCATCCTCCATAACGTGACAGAATGGACCGACCCTCCAGGACCCAGCGGATTACCCGTATGTATGATTTTTATGGTGACCCAGCCTCCTGTCGGACTTTTATCTTGGACTTGGTGAGGTTTTGTGTCCCGGACATGTTGGACACAGAACGGATTATTAAGACGGTGCTCCACCTAAGGAGAAGAGCCCTGCAATGGGCCAGCCGTTACCTCAAGCAATATCCCTTAGAGAAGTTGGATCATTGGGATTTTGCAGACGATCTGCGGGACACTTGCAGCAGCCCACAAGCTCCCTCCTTTGCAGTGGATCACAATCTGTCAGCAGGCGCTGTTATAAGAGCCGCCCTCTCAGCATCTTCCAAGTGCCACACGTCCCTGTCTCTGACCAATTAGAACCAGCTTCGTCTCCTTCTCCCCTGAACCAGTTGGCGCCGTCTCAGCACCTCTGATAGGCCAAATCACCTCACCCGATCCTGACAACGCTGCCTATTCATCCCTGGTGGGTTGTTATTCCTCCTCATCTTCTGTTTCTGCCATCTCCACACCTCCGTTGACCCAAGACCCCCCACGTCGACGACGCTGCAGCCGCCGTCAGATCTTCTGGGGTCAGAGCATCACCTACAGTTCAGCCCAATCTCCTCCTCATCCCAGAGGCCACGGTTCTGCAGTCCAAGTCTGAGCTCCACCTGCCTTCGCCGCATCCGGCGGTGGTCCCGGAGGGCACATCGCATCCTGTTCCGGCGGTGGTCCCGGAGATCGCACCGTGTCCCGTTCCAGCGGTGGTCCCGGAGGACGCATCGCTTCCTGTCTCGGCGGTGGTCCCGGAGGACGCGACTCGTCCTCCGAGCCAGGGGTCGACACCTCCGAGCCAGGGGTCGACGCCTCCAAGCCAGGGGTCGACGCCTCCGAGCCAAGGGTTGACGCCTCCAGGCCAAGGGTCGACGCCCCCGGGCCAGAAGTCAATGCCTCCTGTCTCGAAGTCGACAGAAGTAGGCGTCTCCAGCTCTGAAGTAGCGTCTCCAGCTCTGAAGTAGCGTCTCCAGCTCTGAAGTAGACGTCTCCAGCTCTGAAGTAGATGTCTCCAGCTCTGAAGTAGACGTCTCCCCATCTCAAGTCTTGACATCCCCGTCTCAAGTCTTGACGTCCCCGTCTCAAGAGTCTCAAGTGTCCCAGTCTCAAGTGTCCCAGTCTCAAGTGTTCCAGTCTCAAGTGTTCCGGTCTCAAGAGTGCCCGGTGTTCCAGTCTCAAGTGTCCCAGTCTCAAGTGTCCCCTGTGTTCCAGTCTCTCGAGTCCCAAGTGCTCCAATCTCAGTCCTTGTCTCCAGAGTTCCAGTCTCAGTCCCTGTCTCCAGAGACCCTTCCTCGTCTGCTGAGGTCCCTTCCTCATCCTCCTCCTCCAAAGCCCCCGATCCCCAGGGTTTCCTATTGCCGCCTCCTGGTTCCCCGTCGCCGGCCTCCTAGACTTCCCTGGTCCCGCCTCCTGGTTCCCCGTCGCTGCTCCCCTAGACTTCCCTGGTCCCGCCTCCTGGTTCCCCGTCACCGGCCCCCAAGACTTCCCTGGTCCCGCCTCCTTGTCCCCCGTCGCCGGCTCCCGAGACTTCCCTGGTCCCGCCTTCTGGTTCCCCGTCGCCGGTTCCCTAGGCTTCCCTGGTCCCGTTTCCTGGTCCCCTGTCGCCAGTCCCCTAGGCTTCCCTGGCCCCGCCTCCTGGTCCCCTGTCACTGGCCTCCCGGGGTCTCCTGTTCCCTCCTCGCCCACCCTTTTTGGGTTGTGTTTTGTTCGTTCCCTCCTCTCCCTCCCTCTGGTTTTCTCGTGCCCTGTGTTGTCTTGTCTTGTGCTTGTTGTTGTTTGTTCATGTTGGGCGTCTGGTATCCGCCCCATGTGTGTGTGTGTGTGTGGGTGTGGGGGGGGTGGGGGGGTGGGGGGTACTGTCATGGTCTGCGTCTGTGTCTTCCCTCATGTGTTCTCCTTCCTCTAGGTTCCCATTTTGGGTCTCACAAGCGCCCTCATGTGTCCTTTGTCTGCGTCTCATTTATGTGTCTTCTCTTGTAGCTCCAGCCTTTTTGTCCCCAGCTCGGTGTGTGTGTGTGTGTGTGTGGTCCCGAGCTCGGTGTGTATGTGTGTGTGTGTGTGTGTGTGTGTGTGTGTGTGTGTGTGTGTGTGTGTGTGTGTGTGTGTGCGTGTGTGTGTGTGTCCTTCCCAGTCAGGTCTGGTGTCCTGCTCTGCTCCTCTCCTCATTATTGCTTTCACCTGTGCCAGTTCCCCGCACACCTGCTCCTCGTCTCCTATCACTCCAGCCCCAGTGTATAAAGCCTCTCCTTGTCTCATTGTTCTTGTCGGTCCATTGTTGCTGTCAGTGTGACTTATTCTGTCAGTCCTGCTCGTTCCTTTAGTGTTTTTGGATCTCCTGATCATCCCCTGCATTTTTGGACTTTGGCTTCCTGCCCCTTTTGGTTTTTATGTTCGTTTTGGGTTCATCCTAAAATAAAAGAATTTTTCTATCTACTCCTGCCTCGTGTCATCCTGGGTATCTGCATTTTGGGTCTGAACCATCCTCCATAACGTGACACAAGCAGGGCCAGATTAACACTTTGTTGTACCCTGGGCAACAATATTCAAGGGCCCCATCATCACGACCCAAGGATCACTGTAATATGGTCACATACAGAATATT